AGGGTTGCGATCCCGTTACCGGTCAGTAAAAAAGACAAAAAGGAAAAAAAAAAAAAAACAGATGGTTTACTTTTGACATCTGTTGGTATCACAATGTTAGTGGCATTTGTTACAAGTAGTTTGAAAGTGAAGAAATTGCCTTAAAACAGTAAGATTAACACGATGTATCTAAAACATAGACACGACTTGAAAGAGTGTCAACCTCTCAGGCTAGCAAGTCAGTCTGATCATATTAATCATAGCTAAAGAAAAAGAATGTCCGTTTAACCAAAGAGGTTTGTTTGATATGGACACACAGAAAAAGAATAGTATATAGAGAGAAAGATGATGCAATCAGTATAGCAGGAGAAAAGAAGATTTGGCCATCAGAAATCAAGCTTCCTTCTATCTTGTGACAACATCTAGCATATGAATTTGGATATGGTTCACACACTAAATATATCAGACCAATCTCTCTTTTTTTAAAAAAAAAGATTAACTGTTAATGAAACTGAGTTTGAAAGTAATCTAAATAAAACTGGTACCTCTATTACCTATGTCTATTACCTAATGTCTCTATTACCTATGAAGCCAAGTGATTTTGAAAAGATTAGCCCTGATAATAATACATGAACAATGGCTTTTTCCAACACAGTGACAGCAAGATTCTATATAACCAAAGGTAATAAAAGATGCAGTCACCCTAAAGTATCATGTTCTCCTACCTAAACATTTTGTTCTTAAAATGAGTACTCTGTCCTTTGAGAAACTGATATTTTGACATACTGAAGCAAGAAAGAGAAATGTGTCAGGGTCATGCTCATATTGCCATACATATTGAGCAGATATTCACTACTTGGGAGTTTAGGAAATGCAATGCTGTGAAATAGAGAAAACATTTTCAATACTATAATTGCAATCACAAAGCTTCATCAAGAAAACACAAATAGTTATGTACTTTTCAATGATCATAGGCCAAAGACTTGAAAATTATCTATTATTAAAAAATGTTATAGGGCCGGCCCTGTGGCTCACTTGGGACAGTGTAGTGCTGGTAGCATCGAGGCCACAGGTTTGGATCCTATATAGGGATGGCCGGTGAGCTCACTGGCTGAGCGTGGTGCAGATGACACCATGCTGAAGGTTACAATCCCCTTACTGGTCAAAAAAAAACAAAACAGAACTGTAAAAAAATTTACTTAAAATGAAAACAGGGATCTCAATTGTTTTAATAAAATATCTAGGGGCCGGCCCAGTGGCGCACTGCTACAGTGCGCCGCCTGGGAAAGTGCGGTGGTGCTCCCGCCGAGGGTTCGGATCCCACATACAGACCAGTTCCCGCTCACTGGCTGAGCGAGGGGCGGGCGCAGCACCAAGGGTTGCGATCCTGTTGCCGGTCCCGGTCCGGTACGGGCGCGACACTGAGGGTTGCGGTCCGTTGCCGGACACGAAAAAAGACAAAAAAAAAAAAAAAAAAAAAAAAAAATCTAAATTTATAAATGTATTGAG